TTTGAAAAATTCTTTAAGAGGAGTGGAAGAAACACAGATTCAGAAAAATCAACAGTGCCAAAAAAAGGTAAAAGGGTCAGTTTGATAAATCAAAATAAAGGTTCATCAACATCTAAAAAAATATTAAAATAAAAAAAAATAAATTACATCATGGCTTGATGATGTGGATTGGTTTTGGGGATTAGTGTAGTCAGTATTTGTCAGATTTGTTTCTCCTGCAAAAAGTTTCCTGCTGCTGGGTGCAAGGAGGACATCCAATCCCAGCAGCTCAGGAGGCTGAGACAGGAGAATCACAAGTTCAAAGCCAGCCTTGGCAACGGGCAAGGCGCTGAGCAACTCAGTGAGACCCTATTTCTAAATAAAATATAAAATAGGGCTGGAGAGTGGCTCAGTGGTTGAGTGCCTTTGAGTTCAATCCCTGGTACCAAAAATAAGTGTTCCGCCTAGGTACCTGTGAGCATTAAGTAGGAAGAGATGGGTAGAAGCACTATGGGAGGTGTGCCCACATGTTTTGCTATGAACAGAACATTTTTTGAAAACTTGTGTTTTGTCCTTAAAATTTGTGCAAAATTTTACTCTCTCATGATTCATTCTGCCCTTCCTTGGGTCCTCCTGGCTTTCTCTGGTCTTGCATGGAATTGTTGTGGATTGTTGGTGTGGCAGTGTGTATGGAAGGGGGGCTACCTGTGTCCTGGCTTGTTTTGTCCTGGAACTTGTATGATTGCTGTAGAAGGGGCTCACAGGAATCCACCTCCTAATGTTATCTACTGTCACAAAATGTACCCACGGGTCCAGGTTTTCCTGAGAGATGAACTCTGCCTGAGGGGAGGTGGCCTGTGTTCTGGTTCTCTGGAGTAGGGACTACCTGTGCCAGCCTACATCTTGCTTTTCTTTCTTCCTTCCTCTCCCCTAATTACAGCCATGTTTATTAGCTAAAAATGATTTGTCATTAAAGCTCAGGTCTGAAGCCAGCAAGGGCAAATTGGAGGGATTTTAGATGTATCGGAAGCTACTTCTCAGCAGTGTCTTCTGGCATCTTCCTTTTCCTGTCTGCTGTTTGTTTCTGAAAGGCGCCAGGGTAATTAAAATTTTATGATGGAAAACGTTACTCTGTTCTCTGAGTCCTCTTTCTGTGAAAAAGTGTATATAATCATTTTCTGAAGTCACACTTTGTTTTTTCCTAGAATCTGGTGAACTAAAGAATGCTGAGCCTGGAGGAGATGGAAACAAGAGAGGAGGGAGGCAGGATAGCTTTGCCTGGTGGAAACGGATGCAGAAGGTTGGTGTGCATCTGAGTGTGCCAGACCCAGCCCCCTGTCACTTCTCCAGGGGTGCTGTTGCTGCACGACTGAGACTGCATCGCACTTGTCTCAGTCTGTTCCTTAGACTGGATGATTTTTAAATAGCTTGAAATTTATTGTTCATAATTATGGAAGCTGGGAAGTACAGGGTCAAGGTGCTGGCAGGTCCAGAGTCTGGTGAGGGCTTGCCCTCAACTAATAGATCGTGGTGTCTTGAACATGACTTCCTTCAGTGGGACCAGTACTATGTCCTCCTGTGGTGGAAGGGACAGACTTTTCTCCTGCCCGTTAGTAAGAGCACTAATCTCATCCATGACATTGGCGCCCTGTGGTGTCATCACCAAGTCCCCATTTCTTACTGCCATCACCTTGGGGGTCGAGTTCAAACCACAGAGATTAGGAGAAACGAACTTTTTAAACGTGCCAAGACTTCTGTCTGCACTTTGAGAATTGCAGGTAAGCGGACATGCTATGTGATGTTGCAAAGGCAGAGCTCTTGGTGGGTTTGCTGCTTCTCCTGGGGCCTCTGGTGAGCAGCAGGTTTGTTGTGCTGTTCACAGTGTGCAGGTCTTTCCTGCTGAGAGCAGCAGCTGAGCTTCCCCACATGCCTGGTCCCCCTTGGGTACCATGGGAGGGCAGGGTTTGGTGACTCCAACATCTGAGAGGAGAAGTTTCGTTGTTCATGATGGCTCAAGGGTAGAGCTCTGGCTTAGCTGAGCCAGGACCGAGGTCTGATCTCCAGTGTAGTGAAAAACAAACATATAATCAAAAGAAAGGAACACCTGCATCTAATTGCAAAATTTGTTATCTTTTCTTCCACAGGGCGAGTTCCCCTGGGATGACAAGGATTTCCGAAATCTGGCCATTTTGGGTGCAGGTGTATCTGTGGGGTTTTTCTACTTCTATTTTCGAGATCCTGGAAAAGAGATCACCTGGAAACACTTTGTCCAGTATTACCTGGCCAGAGGTCTGGTGAGTGAACTTTGTCTGCCTGGGAAGGTGCTGTGGTGGTATGCCCTTGCAGGAGACAGGTGGTGCCCCAAGAGTCAGTCCTGCTGGGGGGTGTCCTTCATGGCTCAGTTTTGTTTTTCCAGGAGATACCCCAGCAGAACAGCACATCATGATGTCTTCTAAGACAGTTCTGTTTGTCTCCTGATCTTTGACTTTTGTTCTCATTCCTGATTCGGGATTTTTTCCTTTCCCCTTACTTTCTGCTGCCAGCCACTCCTTGACAGTGGACTGTGGCTTGGTGACCGCAGAGGAGCATGTGGCACCAGCAGAGCCTCTCTTGTGTGTTTTTCCCTTGGGGTGCTGAGTTGGGTGAAGTACTGCTCAGGCTTCCGTGTAAACTCTGTATGAGTAAGTGCCTTCCCTCTGTTGCCCTCAGGAGAGTGTTGGCTGGACCCAGGCATTATTAAGAGCTGAAATTTTGTTTGATGAAACTCCTGTTTCCCATTAAGGTTTGTGGCCACAGCCTTTGTGTCTAACCACAAGGCACATGCCTATCTTCAGAGAGGCCCTTGGCAACTCTCCCTATGGTGGAAGGGGACAGAGCTGCTGCAGCCCTTCCCTGTCTGTGGATCTTCTACCTGTAGGCGTGGCTGTGAGGGGGGTGAGGCAAGTGTGGTGAGCCCAGGATGCCTTTCTGTGCCTGGACTGGACTGCTCTCAGCACTTCCTTGAAGTCTTTTCCAAGTGTCTGACCTGACAGTGATGTGTTATTGTGGTGGGAAGGTTGTAGGATTGAACGTGTTCACCTTAGTCACATGGCCCTAAGTCCTTGCTTTTGGAGCAGTGATGATATTGTTGCTGCATGTAAGAATACACATTGTGCCCTCAAGTTGCTTCCCTCGGATTGCTTCTCTGAGGGGCAGGCTAGCCTGCTGTGTGGTTGTGTGTGGTGGTGACCACAACTGGGGAGCCTGCAGGAGTACATTTCCACCCTGCTTGGCACTGCTTCCCTGTGCTGCCTTTAGCTGGCTGAACAGGGTGGTCTGAATCAGCTGGGTTTAAGACTCTGCTAGACTCTGCTGTAAGACTCATTCCTGTTTCTCTGGGGTTTTTAAGCCAGTCTGGCATGATAGTGCTCAGATACACCAGATTTTAGAAACTAGTCTTGAATTGTTTCCTGTTGATTAAAATGGAAATGAATTCAGGAAAACAAAGCTTGTACTGAACTGTGAGTGTGTGTGGGT